TCTGCATGCTTTCAAACTGCTTGGCCAAGACCACATGGCTTGCTCCATGCTTGAATTTAAATCCCGGCACAGATCTTCCTTGTAACCCTATTTCCAACTCCTCCCACAAAGGGTTATACCTGCCAGTATTCTGGTTTGCAGAGGGATGCCTCCCTGCTGCTTCACTGGTTAGTCACTCCCATTTCTTTGGCTCTAGAGAGCCCAGCAGGCACAGCTATTAGCATTACTAAAACACTGGCCAAGTTGTTTAGATATGCAAAGTAACTCTCAATGGCCCTGCTCCACTTCCCTTTCCCCCAGCCGGGTTAGTAGGGGTTTTGTGGCTTCTCACCCTGTACTCCAAGTTCTTGACCTAGTTCCACATCTGTTACATATAGGCCCGCATTGTCCACTAGGATCTTATGTAATGGCAGAAATGTTCTATATCTGTGCAATCCAACATGATAGCCACTAGTTACATGAGGGCTATTGAGCAGTTCAAATGTGGATAGTATTGCTGAAGAATAAAATTTTACACTTTCATATTTTTATTTAAATTTAAATGGTCTCTTGTGGTAAGTAGCCACCATCCTAGTCGGAACAGGTGTAGGTCATGGGTCCTTTGGACCTATTCCAGGACAGCTTTTACTTGAGGGTCTCACTCCCTCTCTAGTTCACACCAGAGCAGGTCTCTTTTTCCGTCTTCCTTCGAGGATTCCTCATCTGTTTCTTTAGTCAGTCCTCACTCTACCAGGTTTTTCTCTGCCCTGTCACCTCTGCTCACCTAACCTCTTGGGGAAATAAAACACTCACTTTACGTGTTAAGGTTTGAAAATTTTTCTCCCACTTGGCTGTGGACAGGGGGAGACTGGGGGTGCTTGTAGGTTTCCTGTAACAAAAAAGAAAATGAGGAGATAACCAGAAATATAAAAAATTTTACCACATAACCCTGAAACCTTTAAATAGCAAGTTTTAGTGTAGAGGAGGCAGTCCATTCTACCTACTTTCCTGCTGACTCTATTTGAGAATCTAAAATTGTAAGCTTCAGTCATGGAGAGTGTTTAAATGTATACTTCCTGGACCTTGACTCTAGGAGATTCTGATGCAAAAAGCTAGTGAATTAGGAATCAGTATTTCTTAAACATCCTTTAGAGTTTCCACACTGAAGCCAGTTTTGGAAACTGCTTTAATTAACATACTGATGCTATACTTCAGAGGTTTTTAGTTGGCCCAGCTCCATTGAATCTCTCATAGACTGCTTGTTTTTCAAATGTTTATGTTTGTTGTTTATTTTTAGTTTGCTGTTTTACTCCTGCATTTACTGCCACCTACAATTTCCTGCCCCAAAAGCATACAAGTTAGAATAGTTCATGAGTTACCAGCGGAAATCAGGTTCTTTCATGGGATATGAGGAAAGCATTGTAGGGATCCACACCTGGGAAGTTGTGCTCTGGCAACGTTTATTCGGGCAGGGTGCCCCTGGGTTTCTAATTTCCCATCTCCTTCCATCCCACCATGGAAAAACTCCAACTGCATCTTTAGTAAGGCCAAAACAAAGGCCGGTGTCCAGTCTGTTTCATACTAAGTTTAGCTCTTTGGAGTCCACAGTCTGCTGCAGGCCCACGTGGCTGCTAGCCCTGTAGAGTTGCGGAAGTTCCTAGGTGAGAAAGAACCCACGAATGAATGGGGCGATTTCGGGTCACTGAACAAAATAAGCTATTCTTTGTTCCTCTGCAGATATATCCTTTTGGCTTACAAAAGACCAGGAGTCTTTTTCAAAATAAGTAATCAACTTCCCAAGCTTCTGTGGGCTCCTGATGGGCCTACCCACTAGCTAGCGATCCCTTTCCTTTCCCAGGTTACACTAACAGGCCTCCGTGGTCAAGCACCTCTCCCTACACCATTTTGACTATTATTGCCAATGTGCTTACCTCCCCGCAACAATAGTACTGCAAGGGGAAGGGAGGAGTGTTAATCCTTGGAGAGGCAATGTTATGATTCCCTGGGGTGTGAAGCAAATAGGCCCATACTCCCTGGTTGATTATGTTAAACAATGTCCAATTTCCTTCCCTTCCTTTCTTATTAATAATTAGGTAGGCAACTATGTTAACTCACATAGTAACGTTACCGAATAATGGATCCATTGTGGGAGAACCCCAGATCCTATTCCCGTAACAATGCCCCTCCTTCCCTGGGGTCCCTCAGTTCTAGGTCTTTTACCTGCTTTGCTTGAAATTATGGCTCTCAATGGCAGAGTTTGGTGAAAAAGAAAGGGATTTATTCAAAAGTTATACAAGTTTTGAATAATGGCTAAATGTCACTGTTAAAAATCTCAAAATCCCTTTAAAACACCCACCAACACACACAGTCCTGCCTTCCCCCCTTTGCCCAGTTAGGCCAGACAGGGGTACCATCCTTCAGAGAAAAGGAACACAAGTCTGGAGCTCAGCTAGGCAGGCCTCTCAAGGTTCCAGCACCATCCACTGTGTTGCCGTGATCTTCAGTTTTAATCCAAAACCACATAGCACCTCCTCATGGCCCACTAGCAAGAGTCCTTTCTCCCCTTTCCTTCCCACATGGTCTTCACATTGTTCCTCAGAGTCTGTGTCCCATTCTCTCTCTTGCAGGCCCCGTGTCCCCTTCACAGTTACATCCTGCTTCCTAAGCCGTGTGGTCATAAAGCCTCTAGCATGGCTGCCACGCCTGGGTTTTAAACCTCTGCATGAATCCTCCACCACAATCCCATCTCTGACTCCTTCAGCAGGCACTGCTGTAACATGGGGAGCTGTTTCCCAGTTTCCTCCTAGGTAAAAGTTATGCAAAACTTCTGTGGATATGCAAGATAACCATCTTTGCATATGAAGTATAAAGCTATCCTCCTGTTGTTGACATGCAAAGTAACTCTCAATGGCCCTGCTCCCTGTCTTCCATCCTCTATGGAAGCCTGCCTGGGAAAGGGGGAGGTGAGAATAATCTGTATTTTTCTTGGACACCCCAATTTCTGGACCCCATTACAAATCCCCTTTGGTGGGGGGGCTGGCTGTGTCCTGTTAACAGTAATAGTAAATAATAAACTCTGCTTGAAGACCTGAGATTTCCTTGTCTCTGGAGTCCTGAAATGCATAAACTGTGACATTTGCTTTAGTTATCTGTCTTTCTAGGAGTTTGGGCCCTCTTGCCTTGCTCTCTAAAGCAGACTACATTTTCTTATATATATTTTATGTGGCAGTGCCCACAGTGTACTTAATAGTTTGAAATTGTCACAAGTTTTCATTTGGCAGTTATCTTTAAGTTTATTTCACCACCTCTGCTTTAGCATTGCCAAATGTAAATGGTCTAGACTAGACTTTGTATTAAAAAATAACTCCCTCTGGGACAATCCTGGAAATCTTTGGCAGCTGATAGCATCTATCTATGGATACTTCTAGGAGATTAGAATACTTCCTGGTAGGCAGAAATTGTGTCCCCCCTGTGGACAAGATTATGTAAAGGATAAGAGAGCTCAGTGGGTCACATCCATCGAAAAGAATTCAGTCAATAAAAAGAATGGACTATGCATATATTGCATATATGCAACTCAATTACAACCAAGGAAGAGAGGAGCAACAGAAGGTTGCAATATGGCGAGGCTGAAGCATAACAATTTATACTGAGGGAAATGATACAGTCTTAAATGCCTTGCTCTGGAGATAAAAATGGCTCTTTCTGTTACCAAACAAATGGACCCGTGGGGGTGGGGGCGGTGCCCAGATGCTGTTACTGAAATGACACCCCCCTTCCCTGGGGTCCCTCGGTTGTGGGTCCTTTGCCTGCCGCCCTTGAAATTATGGCTCTGAATGACAGAATTTGGTGAAAAGGAAAGGAACTATTTATTCAACAGTTATTCAGGTTTGATTAATGGCTAAAGGTCACCTTTAAAACTCAAAATCCCTTCAAAACAATCACCAGCGCCACACCATCCTGCCTTCCCCCCTTTGCCCAGTCAGGGTACCATCCTTCAGAAGAAAAAGAACAGAAGTCCAGGGCTCGGCTAGGCAGGCCTCCCATGGGTCTCAGCACCATCCACTGTGTCACGGTGATCTCCAGCTCTTAATCCATAACCATGTGGCACCTTCTCCTGGCCCCCTAGCAAGAGTCCTTTCTCCCCTCTTTCTTCCCGCAGGGTCTTCACACTGGTCCCCAGAGTCTTTGTCCCTTTGTCTCTCCTGCAGGCCCCTGTCTCTCCTTTGTCTCCCAGTTACATTCTGTATTAAGTGTTTTTTAGTCTTCCTGATTAGCTTTTGTGATAGGCAAAATAACCCTTTCTTCAAATGAGGAATGAAGCTATGCTGTTATCCTCATTTGACATGCAAAATGATTCTCCGTGGCCCTGTTCAAGGCTTTCATCCCCTATGGCGGCCCGCCCTGGGGTGGGGGAGAATATATTTTTCTTGGACATCCCAATCTCTGGACCCCGTTACAAATACCCTTTGTGGGGGAGGGGGCCCTGGTCGTGCCTCCTTACATTTCTGACAGCCGTTGCTGGTGGGTGAGTGGGTGAATGGGCACCATATAGTTAATGAAGTTATTTTCTGTGGCTGCTTTAGATTCGTTTTGCAGAACTTTCCAGTAGGTTGAGCATTCCTTCTGTTGATCCCTTTTTTTCATCCATTCCATTGCCATGTGTCAGTCCTGCTAAGTAGAGTAGGGCTGAGTATTTGAGGTCATCCTTACCGAAGTCAGGAGTCATTTTCCATTTCTCAGGTATTTAAAGGATTAAAGTTCAAAGCGATCCAAGGCCCCACCGCTCCGCACTGCCAGCTCAGGCGCTGCTTGTCAACGGGATCCGAACGCACCCGGCCTGGCTCTGCACGCTATTGGTACCTGTGCGCAATGCCTCCTGCATCCCGCCCCCACTGCCTGGGCCGGGCCTGGGATTACATATCCTGTCAGAACGTGCGCGCTGCGCCTGCGCTCCCCTCCAGCGTAGGTCTGCGACTACAAATTCCGGCAGGCCTTGCGCTCGGCGCCTGCACTCCCAGCCGGCCGAGGAAAGAGCGAAGGCGTGGAAGGTGTGCCCCAGCTAGCTGAGGAAGCTGTGGCAGCGGCGTCAAGCAACATGGACAACGCAGGGAAGGAGCGTGAGGCAGTCCAGCTAATGGCGGAGGCCGAGAAGCGAGTTAAGGCCTCCCACTCTTTCCTCCGAGGGCTGTTTGGGTGAGCGTCAGACCTCCCGTCCCCTGACGGGATCTCCATTCTGGGTCCCATTCCCGGCCGGGTTCCCCTGACGCGCCCCTCAGAAAGCCGTTAGGGTCTCCAGACCTCACCACAACGCCATCTCCAAAACCCTGGGAGAGCCCCGAGCCCACAGTCCCAACGCACCCTCCAGAGATTCTCTAGGGCCCCCACAGTCCCTCCACCTGTCCCTACTCCCCTATCCCTCGCCCCCGCGCTCTCCGTGTCCCTTTCGCACGGCGCTATACCTGCGTTGGCGCGGGGGTCCCACTGCCTTACGGAACCGCCGCAGCCCCGGGTGTGCGTTGGCTCTACCAGCAGCGGCGAGACTGATTTGTTCATTTCGCCAAGATTGAACCGCGGTAGCTAAGGAGGCATTTGTCAGGTCGGCGTGTAGCAGCCGGGAAAAGCCTGAGGGGCGGGTCCTGGGACCCTGGGCGCCCGCATTTAAGGAATGTCCGGTTGAATCCTGCGCCCCACGGAGGAATGGATGTTTCTCAGTGCCCCCATCCCAGCATCCGTGTGCCCATTTGCTTTGCTCCAAGTATACATTTAATAAATACTCGTTAGACGTTTTATAGCATAGTATTTTTCCTTCACCAGGGATTAATGAATAGCCGGGGCCTCCTGTTTCACCAAGGATAGCGCAGTTCCTTTTTAAGCCTGCGTCTTTTGGGAATAACTTTAATTTCTTGTAATTCTTCCATGCTGTTACAGTGAAAGGTCTTAAATTCGGACTTTCCAAAAAACAAAGCCTGCAATGGCAGTTCTTGGAAGAATTATGGGTATTTGAGTATGTGAATGATTCAGCTGTTTAGGATTTAGAGGGGCAGAAATTTCGTGTTATTTTTTTTTTTCTTTTGAAAATGAAAGATCCTCTGCCGACACCAAGAGCATATATATATATGTTTATTTATTTCTTGAGAAGGACAAGTGGCCCAAACTTAGCCGTTGTATTATTGGACGGGGTTTTATTTTTGTACAAAAGCAGTTTGTAATCTGCCTATTTTTCCAGCTTCATTCTTTTGGTTATAATACTTTACCATTGTTAACACATCTCCGGGAGCTGCTTAAAGGCAGGTTTCACGCAATGCACAGCAGTGTGGGATACAAAGATATATGAAGGTAAGGATTCCTGTCCTCAAGAACCTTTTAGAGGGCGTTTATCCCAGTTGGGTTCTAAATTTCTTATGTGATGTTTAGTTTGAAATACAACGATTTCTAAGTTTGTTCCCCTTTAGAAGTCACCACAGTACATAAGGAACACTGCCTAATACTTGATGACAATACCCAACAGTAGCTCCTTTCTCTGATTCAGAAAATGTTTAAAATTTATTTAGATAAAATTTAATGTCATGGGACCTAATGCCAGGACATGATTTGATGTCACAGCGTATTTCAAGCCAGGATGTCCTTCCCTGGATGATAAGTTGTGATTGGCAGAAGAAAAGAGCATTACAGCACTTGATGCTGTTTCAGGGAAGCACATTGCTTTATTTTGAAGAAGTGTTGCATTATTATTATTACGTACGTGTGTGTGTGTGTGTGTATGTGTATGTGTGTGTAACTAGGCCAAATCTTGTCATTTATCCTAAAAGAATTTTGAAAAGCTTTTTTGTTTTGAAAGAAACATCCTTTTTTCCTAAGATTGATTGACTGACTGATTGATTTTTAGAGAAAGGAAGGGAGGGAGAAAGAGAGAGAGAGAGAGAGAAACATCAATGTGTGGTTGCATCTTGCACAGCCCCTACTGGGGACCTGGCCTGCAACCCAGGCATGTGCCCTGCCTGGGAATTGAACCAGTGACCCTTTGGTGCACAGTCTGGTGCTCAATCCACTGAGCCACACCAGTGGCTCTTTTTTTCTTTGGCTGTTGATCACATATTTCACTGATAGGCCATGTAGGGAGACTTTCATCTTCACCTTTCACATTCAGTTTGTACCATCCTAGGTCTGACTGGATACAGCAGTTCAGTTTATTATCCTAGTTTTGGGTGCTTGGGGCCAGTGGCTTAGGCTTTCTGTCCCTCGGTTTCCTCTACTGTAACAGCGGGTAATAATAGTACATCTCAAGTTAGTAAGAGTTCAATGACTTTTTGTTCGTAAAACATTTAGACCTGTTGGAAATAATTAGCATATCCTTCAAACTGATCAGCCCTAGCTACTTATCAAGGAAGCAGAGAGCCAGACAGATTAAGTGATTTTGCCAATATTTTAGACCTAAATACCTTTGCAGCTGGATCATTGGTCTTCTAATGAAATAAAATATTTGAAAGAGCTCTGTACCATATAAGTATTATTTATATTATAGAGGACTGCATTATTTTCAGTAATTCTCGGTTCCAGGAAAGCTTAGAGAAGAAGAATACTCAAGAGTTCTGTGAGTTTTAATGGTAGTGTATAATTATTTGAAGCCAAAAAACCAGGCCTAGTTTCTCTCCCTGTTACAATAGGAAGACAGATTCTGTATTAATTTTAAATATTTAGAATCTTACATTATATTTGGCATTATTTGCATACATCATCATCCTTCTTGGCTGGAACATGTTATTCCACATTACTTTTCTTCCCTTAGCTATAGAATTTTCCCAGGTACTTGTTTTCCTTTGTTTAAATCATAGTGTAGTTCTCCATGTCAGACTCCTGAATTAACAAAACATACAAAGTGACGTGAGTATCATCAGTATCATTTGATCCTGTATATTTAAGAGCTGAGCAGCTAGTTTTTAAAGGGAACAGGTGATGCTGTTTTGCAGATGTGGCAGCCATTAAAATATGCTCAACATTGTGCAGATATTTTTCATCATGGACTCAAGTCTTAACTGCAGATTAAAACCTATTAGGAGTTCATCTTCACTCAGTGTTTATCTACCACCCACAATGATTTTGTGGCAATACTGTGTCCTTACAACTGTTCCCTAACTCTTTTTTGTAGCATTCAGTAAAATTAGATGGAAATATGCATGTATGTTCCCAAGAAAAAGTCAGTCGTGTATTCTTTTAGGTGTAAGGTACGAGTCCCATGCTTGTTTTAGAAATGTCAAGTGTTCTTTCCCCACATCCCCCCATAGGACAAGAGATGCCAAGGAGACTCAGCCTTCACAGGAAACCACTGTTAGACTGTTAGTGTTGTTCTGTGTTCCCTCTTGACTGCCAGTTAAGCAGTGATGTGTTTTTGTAGTTGTGGAATTAAATTAAAACTCACTTTTCTGAATGAGTTCACATACTGTAGCAAAACTATCAGCAAACAGGTAGTGTTTTCATTTCATGTGTTTACAGAAGTGAGCTATTGAATTTGGTACTTGATTTCAAATTCCAATTTAGAATCTTAGTGATTGTTTAGTATGATCTCTTAATGAACTGCTTGGTATCACCTGGGTTTGACAGTAAGCTAGTTTTGAGTGGCTAAGACCTCTCATTATTCTCTCAGTCTTGTTACCAGGAGACCAGGTTGGGAATAGTTTACACAGTGCACATAAAAGAGAGTTGGCTACTTAAGAATGACAGTGGGAAGACCTTCTGGATGGTAAATGCTTTCTTCTCTTGCTTTTGAATGTTCCCCAATTTCAAAGCTTATAAAAGAGACATAAATCTGGCAATGTCGAAGTACATTTAATGAAATAACCCTGTTGGGTTATTTTGAAATAATTACAAGCCTATAATTTCTTAATCTATTTGTGCAAATAGGGGGTAATTCTTTTTTTTTTAAAAGATTTTATTTATTTATTTTTAGAGAGGGGAAGAGAGGGAGAGAAACATCAATGTGTGGTGGCATCTTGCGTGCCCAGCACTGGGGACCTGGCCTGCAACCCAGGCATGCGCTCTACACTGGGAATCGAACTGGCAACCCCTTGATTCTCAGGCTGGCATTCAATCCAATGAGCCACACCAGCTAGGGCTGGAGAATTCTTAATCATTGTATACCATTAATTATCAGTATTCTTTACTCAGCTTTGTTTTGACAAAGATTTTAATTTTTTCTAAAATAAGGTGGGGATTTGTGATACTATTTTTGAGGAATTTAGGTCTTCCTGAATTACAATAGATATTCAAATGCAGATAGAACTTTTAAAAAAGTCCTTAGCTCACATTCAGTTAGAGAGTATATTATTCCTTATGTACTAATATAAGAAATAGAATAACATATATTGGGTAGCAATTTTACATATTATATAATACATATTTTATATGAACTATAGTAGCAAATATAACTCTGATTCTCTCATTTACTAATTTGGTGACCCTGGCCAAGTAAATTATACCTAAAACTTGGGACTTGGGGGATTTTTATTTTTTTCAGTCTTCAAATGTTCAGAGGTAAATAGTCTACTTTTCAGAATTGTAAAGATTGAATGAGGTGTCAGAATGCTTGTTAAGTTGCACAGAGCTATATTACTATTAGTTATAGTTATTTGGTTTTCAAATTACAGTGTAAAGTTACAATTTGTATATCAAATAATAAACTGTTACCAGATTCTTCTTTTTCTGTTTGCATTTTTGCAGTGTTCACCATTTATTCTCTCATTTTTGTGAGCCCTGTGAGATGCAGACTTGTTTAGAAAAGGTAGGGTGACCCAGCGGTGGTATGTGGCTCTAGAATGTAGGTTCCTGGGGAGTCTGTCTTATTTTATTGCTGTGGCACACCTCACTGTGGTGAGCAAGGGAGCATCCTGGAAAGAAGTCACTCACACATAATTGTGTCTTTCCACAATTCCAGGTTAATTAGGGGAGAACTCCACAGTAAGCCAATAGAGTCACATTCAGATTATACACAGAGGGGGAGCTTATGTGATAGAAGTGAGCTGAGCAAGGTCTGGCATGAAGAAGAGAGCTGGCCATCAGTCTCAAGCCAGGTAGCTACAGTGATGGCATGTTTCCACTGGAGTGGAAGCCTGGTAGGGCTCTGAGCATGACGCATAGTGTAGCTAAGCTCAAGTGCTGGGTGGTCAGAGCTCTGAGTTTGTATAGCCCACAAAGGGTGG